GAAAGAAGGACAGCTGCCCAGCTGCCCATGGGCATGTCTTTGTGAGCATGGATCTCATCTGGGCTAAGGAAGAGAAAGAGGGTGGTCTTTCTGACAGGCCTGTGGTGGACCACGCCTGGGCAAGTGCAGTGTGTAATGGCCCAGCAGAGGAGTCTGCAGGGAAGACCGTGTTGGATCTGCTAGCATCCTCACGTGATCCTTTCCGACGCACAGCATAGGGCTAGGAGCCCCTGGGGTCAGAGGTGGACGGGGCAGGCACAGTGCTCAACAGAAGAGAGAGTTAGGCTGCAGCCCAGGAGTCCAGTGGATGATCCTCCCCTCGCCTTGAGAGCTTCCTTCTTTTTCAAAAGGAGAAGTAAACAGCCCCCCCGACAGAGCTCGTCTGGACGTCTGCCCCCTTGCGTTTCTTTCTGTCTCCGCATCCGGGTTTTAGAGAAATTGAGTACAACCACTTTCCGAAATTTTTCTTGATTTGTTTTCTGAATCACAGTTTACTTAGCTAAGGTCTTTTAGGGTAGGTTTTGCCTCCTAGTTGTCAGATGCTGGGAAAGAGAATGCATGCGCACAGAAGCCAGCCTTTGGTCCAGGGCTTGCCTGCAGGCCCTCCCCATGCTTAGGAAGCAAGGGCTTCTAAGAACTGCACGATAATAAGAGTTAGCGTTTATGGAGTGCTCACTGGTGCTGTGCGCTGTTCTGAGTACTTCATAAGTAGCAACTCATTTAATTCTCACAACAAACCTCGAAGATGGTGTAATGGATTAAATTGTGTCCCCAAAAATACATATTTTGTAAATCCTCACCCCTACCTTTGGTTATAATCCCATTTGGAAATGGGTTTTCTTTGTGATATTAATGAGGTAGTAGTGTCTTAAGTCAGTCTCTTTTAAGATATAAAAGAGCAGATTGAGCAGGCAAGCACGCACAGGTGGGGGAAGAGGGATGCCACAGCACACGAGATCTCCAAGGAACCAAGAAACAGAAGCTGAAAAGAGACAAGGACCTTCCCCCAGAGCAGACAGAGAGAGAAAGCCTTCTTCTAGAGCTGGCACTCTGAATTCAGACTTTTAGCCTCCTATACTGTGAGAAGATAAGTTTGTTTGTTAAAGCCACCCACCTGTGGTACTTCTGTTATAGCAGCACTAGATAACTAAGACAGATGGGTGCCCATATTACCGTTTACTGATAAGGAAACTGAGGCACAAAGAAGTCAAGTTAACTTCCCCAGGTCCTGTAACTGTTGCTGGTCAAGCCAGCATTCACACCCAGGCAAGCTGGCGTCAGAGCCCGCGCTCATAACCACCACACCGGTCTGCTTACCCTGGTGGCCTTGCCCTACGGAGGAATGTTGAGAAGCAATTGTTAGATGCCACCTGGCAGCAGGGAGGCAAATCAAGGGGCTGTATTAGTGGCTGAGGGACAAAACAAGGAGGGCCTCCACCAGCACGAGGCAGAGAGTTGCTGGGGACAGATTTAAGAGCTGTGTGTAGGATGGCAAAACCAATAACTTCATGAATTGAGTGAGAGAAGCATGGGCGACCCGAAGCCTGGGTGAAGGGCGGAGATGATGGGCCCCATGTGGACATGCTGAGTATGAGTGCCTGGGAGATGTCCAGAAGGGATGTCTGGCAAACAGGTAGCTAAACTTGCCCTGAAGTTAGGAGAGAGGTGTGGACGGAAGACATAGCTCAGTAATATTTTTTTCCCCATTTTGTGGAGTCAGTTCTGATCATGGTCACCCCATGCATGTCAGAGTAGAACTGTGCTCCGCAGGGTTTTCATCGGCTGATTATTCAGAAGTAGATTGCCAAGCCTTTCTTCCAAGGCACCTCTGGATGGGCTCACTCCTCCAGCCTTTCAGTTAGCAGGCAAGCATATGAACCCTTTGCACCCAGGGGCTCTGCTCAGTCATTCACATGTTCATTTGGGAGTTCAGTGGCCAAGGAACAAATCACTTCCACTGGGGTGGTTGGTGAGGGCTTCCTGGGACAGGTGGACTTTGAGTCAAGCCTTAAAGAACAGGAAGTTTCAGAGAAGGAGGTGAGGGGAGCAGGGGTGAGAGGTGGAGTGTCAGTATAATGAGGAGCCCACCTGGAAGGGGTGCTAGGTATGAGAGACGAGCAGGAACGTATCAGGAAAGGGCAACAGAAAACTTCGGAATGGCTTTTGATACTTTCCTTCCTAAACCTGATAAAAAACGAAAATCCTTATAGAGTGTTTTAGCCCGATGTTCCAGGTTGCTTCTGCAGAGGAATTCCGTAACGTCAGTGTTGCAGGAACGAGTGTGTGTTAAACCGTCTTTCATAGCCTGCTGCTGCCATTCTGATAAAGACCGTGTTCCTGGACACCTGGGCCACCGGGGAGCCTCTCAAGTGTGTTTGGGTACTGTGCCGTGGGTGGAAACGAGGAGCCCTGGTGGCGCAGTGGTTAAGCACTTGGCTGCTAACCAAAAGGTTAGTGGTTCGAACCCACGCCGCTTCCGTAAAGACTGCAGCCTAGGAAACCTGTGGGGCTGTTCTCCTGTGACGTGGGGTCTGTAAGTTGAAAATCAACTCGACAGCACGCGGCGAGAGCAGCTGTCAGTGGACATGGGCACAGGGCAAGTGGGTGAAGGCCGTGAAAGGCAAGGTGTGCAAGGGGAGAGGTGGGCAGGTAGTGCCAGGGGAGAGGCGGTGCCCACCAGCCTCTGGGAGCTTGTTCCTGGAGAAGGAGTGCTTTTGGGGTGCCACCTTTTCACACGGGTCTCCTCGTGTTTTGAGGGTGCTGGGGTTGTTCCATCTTGGCCAGTAGTGGGTGCGCAGCTGTGGCAGTGTTGACATTACTTCCTGCAACGCTGTAAAGCACGGCTCTGCCTGGTGTGCTTTCCAGGTGTGGGGCAGAGGAGCATAGGAATAAGTCTGAAGGTTTAGGGCTTAGAAGTATGATACTGGTTTCTCCTGACCGTATGATCCTGAGCTTCACACAGCTGCTAAAAGGAAGTTTAAAAAATTTTGCTTTTTCCCGTTGTTACATATAATTAACATAAAACGTTTGGAAAACATGGAAGGAAGAAATGTAAACACTCATAGTCTGATAATATACTGTTGACATTTTGACATATTTCTTGCCAATCTTTTCCCTTTTGTAATCTTTTTCGTTTGTCTTGTATGATTATGATCAAATCAGATATATAATTTTATAGCTAGCCTTTCTGACCTAATGTTGTAAACATTTGTCCATTAAGCTGTGAGTTTTAATTTCTTGTATCACCAAAACCCTTTTACCAGACAGTTTATGAGCAAATCAAGGGCCTTCTACATTGTAGCTGGTGGGAGAGGCAGAGTTGGGGATGAAAGGCGGGGGGTCGTTAGGCCCAGAGATGCCCACTCTGGGCCCTATCCAGGAACAGCGAGTACGGCAGGTAGGTGTCTTAGTCATCTAGTGCTGCTATAAGAGAAATACCACAGGTGGATGGCTTTAACAGAGAGAAATTTATTTCCCCACAGTAAAGTAGGCTAAAAGTCCAGATTCAGGGCATCAGCTCCAGGGAGGGGCTTTCTCTCTCTGTCAACCTTCTCATCAATGTTTCCCCGGACTAGGAGCTTCTCCGCACAGGGACCCCGGGTCCAAAGAATGCACTCTGCTCCTGGCACTGCTTTCTTGGTGGTATGAGGTTCCCCAACCCTCTGCTTGCTTCCCTTTCCTTTTATCTCCTGGGAGATAAAAGGTGGTGCACACCACACCCCAGGGAAACTCCCTTTACATTGGATCAGGGATGTGACCTCAGTAAGGGTGGTGTTACAATCCCACCCTAATCCTCTTTAACATAAAATTACAATCACAAAATAGAGGACAACCACGCAACACTAGGAATCATGGCCTAGCCAAACTGATACACACATTTTGCGGGGGACACAGTTCAGTCCATGACAGTAGGTGAGGCTGGTGCTGGTCCTGAGACAACCCTTTCGGTTCCCCAGTTAACCTAATCTTGAGAAGGCCAGACCAATCCCAGGAAGATTAGAAAATTTAACTAACCAGTTACTGTCAAGTCGATTCTGACTTGTAGCGACCCCATATGTGTCATAACAGAACTGTGCTCCCAAGGGTTTTCGACGGCTGATATTTTGAAAGTAGATCGCCAGCCCTTTCTTCTGAGGCATCTCTGGGTGAACTTCCAATCTTTCAGTTAGCAGCTGGGCACTTAATCATTTGTGCCCACCAGGGACTCTGGCTAGAACCTCCAAGCCTTGGCAGGTTCCTGCAGCCCTGGACCTAACCTTAGTGAGCCGGGGGAGGCCTGGCTCTTCACAACTGGACGTGAGACCCCTTCATACAGAGGAACACTGTGGGGGCTGCCATTTCCTCACTGGGGGGCTCTGGCCTCCCCAGTGACTCAGGCTAATTTAGCAACTCCTGCAGATCTGTCTGTGGCTCCCGCTTAATAAGTGATCACATGCTGGAAATTACAAGTCGCTCACTAGCTCCAGATGTAGGGTTGTTTTTTAGTTTGTTGGTTAGTTGGGTGGGTGGGTGGGTGGTCTGGTGGAAAATTTGTGTTATCTGAGGATGAAAATAGGATCCGGGAAGGTGTTTTCTGCACAGCTGTTTATTGCCCAGCCTAACTGCTCAGAGTCTCCGAGACACAACAGACAGCTTGTTTACTTGCAGAGCAATGTGCTATGTGCTGGGGAAGAGACAGTTTTGTTCTTCCCCCGACTAAAGTATTTGAGTTTGGCATAAAAATGAAAACAGCCTGAGTAGCAATGAAACAGTTTAACCAGTCATTCATATTAAATACAAGTTTATTGCAGTGCTTTTCTCTCCGCGGGGCCGTTCCCTCAGTCTTAACCTGACCCAAATGTTGCAAGATTGTCTTCAGCGCAGTGCGTGGGGAGAGCAGGCACCTTGGAAACAAGCCCCCTTGGTCCAGTCCTGGCAGAAGCCACAACTGAGTGTGTGTAGTCAGTGGTACCGTGGGAGCAACAGCACCTGTCTCTCTGAGTAGGTGTGAATTGTGGGAAATGAGGTTTGTAAAGCGCTGGAACCGAGAGGGCTGGCGCGCGGTGGACAGTGGTCGTCATCACTTGCCACCACTGCCGTGCGGAGGGCCTCCGTCCCTGCGGCGTGGCCTGGAGTGCGGAGCTGGAAGGGTGAAGACTGGTGCCCTGTGACATGTACCCAGGGATCCATGGGAAAGATAGAAACAGCCTGCTGTTCCAGGGATTAGTGGTTCTGAAGTGCATTGTTAGTGAATAAAGATCTTCAGCTCACACTTGCTGGGTTATTTATCCATGCCCAGGCTAGAGACCCCCCGTGCCTGCAGAGTTGCTGGCAAAACAGCTCATCAGTCCTTTTTCAGAACTGCCATCTGAAAACAGTTAGTTTGCTGCTGGCAGAAGAATACCCTAAGACCTTCAGCAAAGGTCTGTGATCTCCTGGGAGGGAAGGTGCTATACTAATAACTCATGATTGCTGGAAAAAAGGAAGCGTGCCAGAATTGCTCTTTGGAAGAGATAAGCCCCCACAGTTGTCCTGGATTGCTTAGTGATTTTCCCATTAGCCCTCAGCATGGTCCCTTTGGAGCCCTGGTGGCGCAGTGGTTAAGAACTTGGCTGCTCACCAAAAGTTTAGCAGTTCAAATCCACCAGCTGCTCCTTGGAAACCCTAGGGGGCAGTTCTACTCTGTCCTGTAGGGCTGCTATGAGTCAGAATGGACTCGATGGCAATGACTCGAAGGTCCCTTTGCTTGTGGCCTCCATGCAGAGCGCTGACCCACCCAGGCATGGTATGTGGTGGGACAGCCCCCGCTGCATTCCCGGGCAGAATGTACCTGCCTCTCGAGTTGTTGGTCTCCTCCCCTGAGATGCGTTTCTTGTCTGTACCAATTTTTGCATGTTATGTCTGACCTGTGGCAGCTTGTCCTGAGCCCTGGGTAAACAGAAGGCTCCGTCACTCCCTCTGGGGCCTTGGTCCAGGACGGGCTGGGGGCGAATGCAGGGCTCATTGCCACCCTGTGTCCCATGAAGGTGGCTGCTCACAGGCTCTGTCTGCACCTCCTGCTGCTGATGGTTTAAGTGTGATGGAAGCGTTCAGCCCTGAGCTCCGTGGACCCAGCCTCTACCCATTTCTGGACAAATAACAGAGTTTAATAAAGGGGTTCCTTTGTACCCTTACAGATCTTGTTTGTTGACCCTTGAGCTCAGTTCTTTCCATGGTGAGCAGGAAGCATTCAAGAACCTCCTTTCAGAGTGGCTCTTTCTTGGTGCCCTTTGTGGAGAGATGCTTCCCAGGGAGTGTCAAGTCTGATTTCTGCCTGAAAGGATGTTTGTTTTGCAGTAGTGCTTAGTGTGAGGTGGGAAGAATTGGTCTGTGGAATTCGGGAATGCAGTAGGTCATTTAATGAGCAAGCAGCCCCCACTGGGCTGAGGTCAGAGGAATCTGTCCCGCCAGTGAACTGGACCCCTCGACCAGCTGGCCCTCCGGGATTCACGTGTTGAATAACAACCCTTTAGAGTAGCTTACGGGACCCCTCCCCTCGTGTCCTGGCGGGCCCCCTGGAATCAGGGCTGTGGGGGCAGCTGCACGCTCATGTTTTCGCATTGCATTACAGCTGCAGTTGACCAGTCTGCTCTGTTTCTCCGTCTAGCCTCCCAGTGCAATGTCAGCCTGAAGAAGCAGAGAAGTCGCAGCATCCTCAGCTCCTTCTTCTGCTGCTTCCGTGATTACAATGTGGAGGCCCCACCAACCAGCAGCCCCGGTGTGCTTCCGCCACTGGTGGAGGAGAACGGTGGGCTTCAGAAGGTGGGTGCTGATGGGAACTGCACGCGCGGCAAAAACCCAGCAGCAGTAGATCTCTCCCATCCTTGAGTGATAAACCCGTAAGAAGAGTCTGTCACAGTGTGCCCAGCCATTTACTTAAAGATTTGAAATTACCAAAAAAGCGTAATCCTTTTAGAGAAAGAATGTCCCAGTCATTTCCACTTAGGAATAAAACGGTGTATTTGATGAGAGGTATACAAGTCACTTTACGTTTTTATAACATTTTCTCTTGGGAAGTTGAATGCATGAAAGAGAGAGTTAAAGAGCCAGTAGCAGATCTTAAAGATATAAAATACACTTATTTGTTGACATAAGGAGTCCACCTTATAGACATAATTATGGTTATGCAGATTTAACTAGAAGATACCATCCAGCATAGATTATAATATTGCAAGAAACTTGATGTTCAACAGTAGGCAGTTGGTTAAAAGAATTATATAGAGTAGCCCTACAGATAGTATGCAGCCATTAAAAATGACATCGCATAAATGTTGATGGCGTAGGGAAATGTTCACAATATGTCAGTTTTTAAAAAAAAAGCAGACTAAAATATCTAGGTAATTGTAAGTACGTATATAGTCACACACACACACAAGCATTTATAGAAAAAAGTCTAGAAGGACGAATGTCAAAATACAGAGAGATCTCTCAGAGAGATGGCGCTCCGTCCAGGATTTTCTCCTCTGTGCTTTTTTTTTTTATTTTTTATTTTTTCTAATTTTAATAAAACAACTTACTTTTGTGGTTAGAAAATGAGCAAAGTTATTTTAAAAGCCCATGTGGATATAAGGTAGGGAATTCTGAGCGCATGGCCCTGACCGTTTAAGTTCCCTTTCTGGATACGCCCAGGTAGACCTGCTAATGGAGCATTAAGGCCTCCAGTTCTCTGGGGTGAAAGCAGGCCCAGGACTCATTCTCTCTGGTGCCCAGTGAGAAGCAGGGGACCACCAGCCGAAGAAAATGCTATCTCCAGTGGAGCCCTAAAAACTAAGACGTGAAATGCATGGTCCCACGAGGTGAACCACCCAGCTGAAGCCTGTGTATGCCTTTGGAGAGGGCTGCCCACTTGACGTGTGTGGTCCCTGGACAGTCTGCCCCATCCTGCTGGCCCAGAAGAACCTGGAGGGACTGCACTGGTGAGCTGAATTGCTTTCAGTTCTTTCAGCTCAGTACTGCCCCCGGGAGAGGCCTGGTAGTGCCGGGGCTTTCTTCGGCTCTTTGTGGTTTGTCAGCCTAGGCCCTGCTGGCGTAAAAACACTCCTTGCTGGGCCTTGCCATGCTCCTGGATTTGCCACTGCCTGAAGATCCTGACGGACTGAATTCTACAGATGCCCTTGTACAAGCAAAGAAAAACGGAGACTGAGTAGCTGAGAAAGTCCAGGTTGAAAAACTAGAGTGTAAGACCCCTACCAAGGTAAAGCTGAGGGAAGAGATAGAGGAGAACTTTAACGGACAACTCAGGCAGTGATATTCAGGAAATGAATTTAGAGCACAAAAGTAACTTTTGGAACTTAAAAAAAAATGATTTCCAAATATAAACGTTCGGTAAACTGAGGAAAAGGAGAGTGAGAATGGTCACTGCTGAGAAATGAATTAATGTTCTGGAAAAGCAAGGGGAAGAAATACCCAACAAGCAGACCAGAGACACAGAGACGGTAATTATGAGTCGGGAGGGGCAGACAGAAGGCTTGACATGCAAATAATAGGAGTTCCAGAAAGAGAAAAAGTAATAGAAGAAAATTTCCCTGAGGTGAAGACGAGTTTGAATCTGTAGCTTAGAATGGATTGCCGAATCTACAGCAGGATTGGCGTGGAGGGGTGCGTGGGAGCACAAGCCCAGATACACGCCGTCGGAAGTCTGAAATTTAAGGATAGAAAAGATTTTACAAGCTACTAGAACAAGTTTTAAAAAAGAATTATACTAGCATCCGACTTGTCATTAGCAACAATGAAACCCAGAAGGCTATGGAAAAATGTTTCTAGGCTATTGAGAGAAAAGAATTACAAATCAAAAATTATATATGACCAAGATATTTATCTTTTAAGACACAAGAAGGACACTTTCAGACATGCCATGATTCAGAGAGGGGGCCAAAAAAAAAAAAAAAACCCATCTGGGTGAGGTTAATATTCAGTTATGATATAATTGTAGAAAATATAGGGATAAATAAGACTATTAGGCATAGAACTGTAAAAAGTAGCTGATTTGGAAAATAGATCCTCATAATCCACAGAGGGAGAAAGGGGAAATAAACAGCAGTGTGAACAAGTCATCAAAATTAAGGAAAAGGGACAAATAACAGGAAATAAATAAGAAGCACAACATGAGGAACAGGCCTAAAATCAAGTTTAAAGAACTGAATTGCTCCTAAAAGACCTAGACTATCACAGATTGGCTTGACAAGTTCAGCTGTATGCTGTTTCCAAGAATATACCTACATCAGGTAGGAATGATCTGGGCAGCAAGTAAAAGAAAACTAAGAAATAATGGCTTAAACAAATAGGGGATTGTTCTTCTCACATAAAAAGCTTAAATCATGCAGTTGCTGGAGTTGGTTAAATGCCTGATGATGGCCATCCAAAAAAAAAAACCCAAACCCATTACCACTGAGTCAATTCTGACTCATAGTGACCCTGTAGGACAGAGTAGAAGTGCCCCATAGGGTTACCAAGGAGTGGCGGGTGGATTCGAACTGCCAGCCTTTTGGTCAGCAGCCGAGCTCTTAACCACTGTGCCACCAGGGCTCCAATGACGCCATCAAGGACCCATATATTCTTTTTGTCCTTCTGTCTTTCTGTTCCTGTGGAGCAGATTTATCTCAAGGTTGCAAGTTTCAGACATCATATCCACCTATAAGGGAAAAAGAAAAGAGTGGCAGTAGCCATCTCTGCCCCTTTTATGGAAAGGAAATATTTTCACAGAAAACCCCAGGAGACCTCTGCTTACGTCTCATTGTCGTGTCTGTTGTTGTTGGGTTCCATGGAGTCAGTTCGGACTCATAGCGATCCTGTGTACACCAGAATGAAACACTGTCTGGTCCTGCACCATCCTCATGGTCGTTACTATGTGTTATTGGCCAGAACTTTATCACATGGCTTTTCTCTAGCAGCAAGGGAGTCTGGGAAGGGGAAGAATTTAGCCAGATATACTTCTGCCCTGGACAAAATTGGAGTTCTTTTAGCAAAGAAGAAAAGAGGAATGACTGTTGCGTAGATGTACTAGTTCATAGAGGTTTGGTTATGCTGCGGTAAAACTCCAAAACCTCACAGGCTTAAAACAATAAAAATTTATTTTTTACGCATGCTACATGTTTATGGGTTGGACATGTTATTAGAAAGGATCAGTCTATGGAGAAGGACATCATGCCTAGTAAAAATAGAGGATCAGCGAAAAAGAGGAAAACCCTCAACGAGATGGACTGACATAGTGGCTGCAACAATGGGCTCAAGCACAGCAATGATTGTGAGGATGGCGCAGGACTGGGCAGTGTTTCGTTCTGTTGTACATAAGGTCGCTGTGAGTCAGAACCGACTTGATAGGACCTAACAAGAACAACAACAGGGCTTCTGCTCTGTGGCACTATCCTATAGAAATATAACGCGAGCCACATATGCAATTTAAAATTTTCTAGTAGCCATGTTTAAAAAAATAAAAAGGAGCAGATGAAATTAATTTAATAATGTTTTATTTAACCCAGTATATCTAAAATATTGTCATTTAAATATGTAATCAGTAGAAAAAAATTATTAATGAGATAGTTTACATTCCTTTTATCATACTAACGCTTCAAAATCTGGCGCATATCTTACACATACCAAAAACCAAACCTGTTGCTGTCATGTCGATTCTGACACGTAGCAACCTTACACATAAACTCCAAAACCCAGTGCCGTTGAGTCGATTCTGACACGTAGCAACCCTAGAGGACAGAGTAGAACTGCCCCATAGAGTTTCCAAGGAGCATCTGGTGGATTTGAACTGCCACCCTTTTGGTTAGCAGCCATATCACTTAACCACTGTGTCACGTTTCACGTTGATAGCTATATGTGACTAGTGGCTACTGCCTTGGACAGCATACCTGTTGCCATCAAGTCGATTCCAACTCACAGCAACCCTATAGGACAGAGTAGAACTGCCCCATAGGGTTTCCAAGGATGTAATCTTTATGGATGCAGACTGCCACATCTTTCTCCCGCAGGGCAGGTGTTGGGTTCGAATCGTCAGCCTTTTGGTTAACAGCCGAGCGCTTAACCACTGTGCCACCAAGGCTCATTTGCACAGCATAGCTGTATGTTATCCTCATTTGTGGACCTAGACTGAGAAGGCCTCATCTCTTTGCTTCCCTGGTTTGTCACAGCCGGAAGAAGGGAATGTGGAGTCACTCATTGGCTCGGAAAGTTTCTACCTGGAAGTGACACGCTGCATTTCCATTTATATACTGTTGACCAGAGCAAGCCACATGACTCCATCTAACTTCAAGGGACATGGAAGTGTAATCCTACCACATGCCCAGAAAGAAAACGGGAATTATTTGGTGAACAGTGCTCATAACTATCACAGTAGGTGAATCATAGTTCCTGCTTTAAAACTTAACATAAAGTGATGAAGAAAGGTGGAAAATAAAGAGATGGGCAAAATGTACAAGGCAGATTAAACAAAAAGAAAGCAAGAGTGGCAATATGAATATCAGACAAAGCAGAATTCAAGGCCAAAAACATTTAATAGGATAGAGGGGTGCTCTGTAATGGTAAAAGGTATAATACATGAAGATGCATAATAACCATAAACTGTTAGATACTAATCAACAAGATAACCAAATGCATGGAAGAAAAGTGTTTACATATGTCAACAAGCTATTTTCCAAAAATAAACAGCAAACAGCATAGGAAAATCATTGTTGGGTAGGTTCTGGCTAATGTAGTAAGACAAGAAAATGAAGTCATTGATACAAGTATGAGAAAGGTAAAATATTAATCTTATT